AAGTGACTGGAAGTTTCTGTACATTGATAGTGGTAACCTATTATGAAGAACTATATGTCCTAACTATAATAAGAACAACCGACATTCCCGTTGAAAGTCGCATGTAGTGTGCTGTCTACATAAATCTAGTGCATTATTTATTGATGCGATAATAAATTGATCCATTCTATTAAGTCGCTTAATAGCTAGGTCCTTCCATAATGAAATAAGTTTTTTAGTAACACGTAAGTATATCATATGCATAGGTTCACAGGGGAAACATTTAATCATATCCACTGGTAGATTTTCAAATGAACTTGTACCACGATGATGGATAGATTGGGACCTACTACGAAAAGTGACATCATTTCTTAAGTCATGTTCACCATTGGGGAAAGTCATTCGACCACCCATTCGCGTCCCTAAAACCTGACATTTGTCACAGCCAGCGATACATATTTTGACTTAGTATTGCCGATTGTCCCACAACAAACCTAATATCCAAGGATCTGCTGAACATTTCAGCGCCAAAATGCGGTTTCGAATTTCTCACAAAATCTGAACTGAAGTTTGCACTGTCTTATTATGATTCATTTAATTATTATCCTATACATGATTTTATGTACCAGTGTCTTTGTATATTAATATGATTTATATCCACAGGTTTGACTTAGTATTTATGACATTCACTGAACGAGACTGCAATAACCAATTTTTTGAACTCGTATACCCTGATATCCTAAATATCGCTTTATCTCCTAGCTTCGACTACTCCCAAAAACAATCATAAAAAGAAGATACATTGATAAAGTCTAGAAAAAATTGTTTAAAATAAATAGCACACCAGAATACGTATGCAAAGTATTTGGAAATAGAGTGAACATTTAGCACACACTGAAACAGTCATCGACCATTGGGAAAATAGTTTTAATAGTGTAAAAAACAGACGATATCTCCCATGGCATGAGAAAACTGAAGGTCAGATTTCAAATTAAAAAACCAGGAAATAAACACGTTTCTGAGTATTAAACATCTTGAAACTAGATTATAGGCAAATCACCCTAAAGTCTACTAATTATGTAAATGAATCCTAACCATTTCCATCAAATTGGTTTCTTATTTAAATCTCATTTGAACCAATGTTTTCTCTTTTGTTCATCGTACTACTAACTATTGTTAGGTAGTATGAGTAATCGCTTGCGAAATAGTGTCGCCACTCTAATTTCTGTTTTATTCAACTGGTTCAAAAATTACTGACTGTTTATATGCAACTCTTTGTTTGTTCACGATCCTAATTAAGTATTTATATTATTTGATTGATACATGTGGTCTCGATAGTCCAGATTACGATTTTTTAACTGCTAATTAATACACTAGAGCAAGTTGTATATATATATATTCAATATATTTTTGGTACAATATAGAATTCTCAGCGCAAATTTTTTCAAAAAATCCCTTATCTTTCGTTTTTATGTATATTACCAGCAACCACAATGTCTCTGGTTGTGCTCTTCCCTAACTTTTATAGCGAAAGGTCGTGAACTTTTCAAAAACGCACTTGAATAGGTTGTACAATTAATTGACGTAATGACCAATTTAAACAAACTAAAGACAGATAACTTGTTGAAATATCGAAATGGTAAGAACTGGTAGCCCAGATATTAAGGCAGGCCACTGTTATCTAGCAAAACTACTTGAAGGAAGTGTTTTTCGTTTAATTATATTTTTGATAACATAACTCATGTTTCCGTAACAACACTGTGCTTCTAAAAAAACTTCTTTTTTAAGTTTCAAAGTTTTAGAGCGTAAGTCAATCTCTATGTTAGTCTACTGACACGCCAACGATAGCATTTATTTTGTGTTAATAATTTACTTATGAGCAATTTATTTAGAACTAGCAAATCAGTAATTAGTTATTTCAATTCAAATATACATCGTGGTGAATCTTAATTATTTATCACTTAGTGGAAAATAATCAGAAAATCATCCTGATAGATTCGAAACACGTGAGCATTGATAAACTAGGAAAGCAAAAAAGGTAGCACACAATACGATGGCAGGTAACTCTAAGCAGTTATTCAGACACATCAAAGATACAGTTATTCGAAGTAAGCTGTTAGTAAGACTGTTTAGATGCGGAATGGAACTTTGAATAATACATCCATGTAGTCAAGTTTTTAAAATATTGTATCTTTCATTCAGTGTTAACTATAATTTGATAATAGTTAAATTTTAAGAAGAGTAACACATGAAATTTGAATTAGGAAAACTTGAGAAAAACCATTAATTCTAGTAATATATTCTGTACTGACGAGGAAGAGAGTCTAATAACACAGATTTCACTTTATCTGTGCCTCGCCTTATTGCTTTTATTTGTATCTCGGTGTTGATATTCTGACTGAGATACTAAACCATTACAATTGATTGATCACCACCCAGTGATCAATCAATTGTAATTACATCTAAGTCCTACAGGAGGTTAGTCACGGCTCGGATAGCTCAGTGGTAACGTCTCTGACTGTGAAGCTGGGTGACACGAGATCGAATCCGCCAGGGAGCACCAGTTCTCTCAAGATTACAGGTACACCTTGCTGACGAGTGCCAAGTAGCACGAAACCCGGGTCCAGGGTTTCCTGTTGACTACCTCCAACCACCATCTAAATACTAAACCATTGCCTATCGTTTTAAATACCTGGATGTTATTCACTTGGTTGTTTAGTAACGAATCACTAATTTATTTAACAAATATAACAATCTCAGCGAGAATATCAACAATAAAATACATGCACTGAAATTTAGCTGAAAAATTTCATAGGTTGAAATGTGAGCCCTGGATTCTGTTAACGATCATCATTAAAAATTTTCGATTTGTCCTATTATTAACTTGTATGTTTAAACAGGATTCCAACATCTGTAAACCAAAGTGACTTATCATTTCTGTCCTAAATATCAAAAAGTAAGAAGTACAAACCTTTATAGTCGATAGTCACTTCATGTTTATAAATAATTTGCGCTGTAACTCATTGCCATAATTTATGTGTTTATTAGTGATGATACTACATGGCTGTTCAATATTCAAACTCACCAATTTATTCTAGAGTTAAATAACTTCATTTATCTCCAAATTTATGTTGGCATTGTGTTATGATTCATTTTTGAATCGAGTTATACTATGAATGTTACATTCTCAGATTTGTGTGGTAAGGACAGAAGGCCTACAGCCTATGTTATTCCTTTTCTAGTATGCTTCTGTGAATGTCCAGTCTTCTCTTGAAAGAGTCAATTGAAGGTGCGGACACCACTGCTTGAGGCAGCAGGTTCCAAGTATTGATGACTCGGTGTGAAAACCTGTATGCCACGGGTATTTTGTTCGTTCTTGGCTTTTCTACTCGCCTGCTATGTCCTCTGAGGTGTCCCGATCTAGTGGGAAGAAAAAGAGAGAATAAGTTAGGTCCGAAATCATGTCTCAATATTCTGTACATCAATATTAGATCTCCCCTTAGTCTGCGATAGGACAGAGTAAAGAGGTTCAGTTTTTCAAGCCGCTCTTTATATGATAAACCCCGGAGTTCCGGAATTGCACGCGTAGCTGCCCTCTGCACTTTTTCTAGTATGTCTGAGTCACCTTTTAAACAGGGGCTTGCAGCCTGAACACAGTTCTCTAACTTAGTTCTCACTAAGGATGTGTATAATGTGGTGAACATGGTAGTATCAAACTTAGTGAATGTCCTTTTTAAAGCCCAGAGGGTTCGAAACCCCTTAACCGCGACCTCCCGGCAATGGGCCGTCGTCTTAAGATCATTGCTCACTGTCACCCCTAGATCCTTATGAGACCGGACTACGGGCAATGACACATCCCCTATGTTGTATGTATGAACCTTTGAATCCCCTAAGTGCATGTAGACACACTTTTCCGAGTTGACAGGCATCAGCCACTCTTTAGACCAGTTTATCATATTATTTACGTCCGCCTGAAGAGTAAATGCGTCTTTTTCTCCAGTTATTACTCGCCAAATTTTTACATCGTCAGCGTATAATAACATTGGAGACTGTACTATACTTGTAAGATCATTAACGTACAATATAAAAAGTAAAGGACCTAGGACTGAACCTTGAGGTACCCCACTAAGTACTGGTCTCCAGGTGGAGCACTTGGAATTTATTCTTATTTTTTGCCTACGACCTACTAGGAAATCCTTAATCCATTTTAAAAGAGGTCCGGCAATACCAAGGTTTGCCAACTTCAATAGCAGTCTATTAGTTGGCACCTTGTCAAAAGCCTTACTGAAGTCTATGTAGACAACATCCACTGAGTTTCCGTTGTCTAGCGCATTAATCCAGAGCTCCCTAGCTAAAAGGAGGTTCGTTGTACAGGATAGACCCTTTCTAAAACCATGTTGTGCCATGTTCATCAAGTTATTTGTTTCCATAAATACCGTTATGGTCCATTTGATTATTCTTTCCAGTATTTTAATTACAACACTGGTGAGGCTTACGGGTCTGTAATTCGATGGAACTTGTCGTGGACCTGTTTTATGTATGGGAGTGACGATTGCGTCCTTCCAGTCCATAGGTAACACACCTTGGTCAAGTGACATTTTGAATATCACAGTCAGTGGGGCTGCGATATATTGGGCTATATGTCTCAAGATTTTAGGGTGTAGTTCATCTGGTCCTGTTGACTTTTCCATATTTAGGGTGATAAGAGCCTTAAGCACATCGTTTTGGTCGAAGTCCACGGTAAGCAGCTGGTTTGTTGACTCTGTAATTGGGTCTGGTTCTTTCTCTAGAGGAGATTCCTGAGTGAAAACTGCCCCAAAATAGTCAGCCATAACCTCAGCTTTTTCCTGATCTTCCTCTATCAGTTCAGATTCACTTCCTACTTTAATTAGGTTGGGAATCCAATGATGAATCCTTGTTCTGTAGTTTATGTACGAGAATATCCTCTTGGGCTGCTTGAGTGTAGATTGTGCCAGCTGCATTTCAAATTTTCTTTGCGCTTCCCGAATTTTAGTTATACACTCGTTTCTTATCGATCTGTAACGTTCCAGCGTACCTGCTGTGCCAAGGCGGATGGCAACATCCTAGCATTTCTTCTTTTGTCTTAGTGAGCGTCGAATATCCCGCCCTATCCAGGGATGTCCGTGCTTCTTTTTCTTTGGGACAGTCCAGGGTATGTATGGTTGAGTTACCCGATTATATAACAGCCTGAATAGAGTCCATGCCTCTTGTACTGATGCCTTTGAATCAATTTCCCAGTTCTCAGCCGATGCTGCGGAGTTAATTGCCTGCATATCTGCCTTCCATATGTTAGGACGGGCCGGCGCAATTGTTTGACAAGCAATCTCAACCATGAATTTGAATAAGATGACTGCATGGTCACTTCTCCCAAGTGGTGGAAGAAAAGCCGTTTGATCAACGTCATCGCCGTGCGTGAAGACTAAATCTAAAATAGAAGACGAGTTTCTTAAATCGTATCTTGTGGGATCTCTAATGTGTTGTAATAATGCTAGTCCAATCGAGGTTTCTAACAGTTTGGAGTCGAAAGACGATATGGCTGACCCTACTTCTAAGTTTACCCAGTTTATATATGGTGCATTAAAGTCGCCTAATACAAGGCTTTTACTGTTGTTACACCAGGACTTAAGTTTACTTAGGAGAAAATCATCTGCTACACTTTCTGGACTGCGATAAACTACAACTACTTCAATATCTTGCCGTCGGCATTTCAACTTACATCTCACTAGTTCACATGTCCCTGAAACATGTGCTACTGTCTCAGCTAATCTTATGGTTAGGGTACTTTTCGTGTACACAATAACCCCGCCTCCCCTTCGGTTTAATCTATCAGCTCTACTGGTTATGAAACCAGTCAACTGGATTTCACTATCTAATACTTCTGACGTTAACCAAGTTTCCGAGACAGCGATAACGTCCGGTTTTTCCTTATCCACCACTGACTTCAGCTCCGCCATTTTATTTAGTAGGCTGCGAGCATTTGTGTAGCACACTTTTAAGTCTGTGGAGAACTTTCCCTTGCCACCCAGAGTGGCTTGGGGATCGTTTTGCTCCGAACTTTTACAATCTGAAAACCCTTAAGAGCGAAATTTCTTTCACCATTTCGGCGACGCTCGTTTATTTCCGCTTCTGCATCTCTTCTCTTAATACGATCAGCTAGGCTGAGATCCTCACGGACATATATTCCGGATCCAATCAGTTTACGTGAATTACTTAGAATCAGGTTCCTTTCTTCCACCGTATTGAATGTAACCTTTAGGAGGCGGTTTTTCTGAGGACTTTCGGAATCCATCTTTTTTCCTATTCTATAAAGCTTACAAATACTAACTCCTGAAACTGTATCTGGGAGTAGTTTACTTAATGATGTCTTAATATGATTGAGATCATGTTCAAATCTTGCCTTTGGTTCAGTATCCGAAGATTCTCTTATCTTATGAAAAATGACTGATCTATCAGAGAGATCTGTCTTGTCACGCGGTGAGGATTTTTCTTCTGATAACACCCCTTCCAATGTCTTGCTGACCAGCTGCGCTTTGCCTACAGCCTTTTTATTTTTTTTCCTTCTTACCGAAGTCCATCTGTCGCCACTCAGAACAGCCACACCTGGACTATGTGGAACGGTGACAGTTTTATCCGGATCTTCTATTTCGACTAGAGGTGTATGACTGCCGATGTCCATATCAAGCGACACTTCATTCCTCGTTACTGTCAATAGAGATTTCACGTTCCCGTCAACCGCGGTCAAGTGTTTAACGAGTCCAGTAGCAGCACTTACTACACTGCCACATTCTTCATCGTCAGTGCTCCTGTTATCAGTGCTTCCGCCGTCGTTTTTCTTGCAGGCCAAAGCCAATAGGCCCATAGCCTCTTGTATTAGTACCTTTTTATCCGTACAGCAGAACATACAAAGCCAATGCGAGTTAGGCTTCGAGAATCTTTTGTAAGCCGTCGGACTTAGTCGTGTACACATTTTGTGGTACCACTTTTTACAATCGTCACACTGCATCCCCTCCTCAACGGAGAACAAACAATTTGGTTGCCCACATTTGTGAGTCTTACCAACCATTGTAATTCGATTTAAGAGGTTTAAAAACAAAAACGATAACGATGTGAGCACAAGTGTTAGTCAAGGACTAAAAACAGGTACTCAGGACAAAATTTAGCAAAAAATTTCAAATTTTAACCAAAGTACTCTTAGTTAAAGTAGACCAAGAATGCTTTTTAGTGCAATAAGTACCCAAAGCAAGTATAATCACAACTAGTACAAAAATCACTGCCCTTTTTGAAACGAGCGCTAAGAAGTTAAACAAGATATTTATACACATTCACCAGTGTAAAATCGAACATTAGTTTTGCAAAAAATTCTTAATTCAAATTAGACATCACTAAACTATCGATCAATATATTTTAATATTTATTATTGATTCAGTGTACTTTACATAGATTTGTTGTTCAGTTTAACCAACAAGATCTGATTGTATACATACACAATTCAAATTCACCAAAATCTTGAGAAGTATAAAAAATGAGGGAAACTAATCAAGGTGACTATTTTAACGAATTGAATCACTTTGTGATTTATTCAATCAATCATCTGAATATATAAATGATATGATTGAATGGTAAGGATTATATGCAAACAAATATATCTAGAAGGAAAGAACTAGTCAAAAAGTGGTTATTTTTTTAATGAAATCAAACATGCAAACCTTAAAGAAATAAAGTATGCATAAATAATACTTAGTGTAAACGTAATTAATCATAGGATATGTGTCCTGTTTTTGATCATTCATCAACCCTTAACACTTATCAGGCTTTAATTCTTGCTGACCATAACGGTAACTTTTCAGAATATAAGATTATCATATTTGTTGTGAAATGTGTAATTTGAAGGATGAAAGCTATCACAATACCACTTGATTAGTGAGGATTTGTAATTCCCCGTTATTGATACTGAAGACTGTAATTGATATTATGTGTATTCGGAGAAGATTGTTTCTATATAGCGTTACATGAAAAGTGCATCACATAGCAGGTCAGTAGTAAACACTTTGATCGCTTAAAGCCAAATTTAATGGGTTCGAATTTCGATGTGTGCTCTGGTACGGTCAAGCGTAGAAAGAGTCAATTCTCCCATGACCACGCGTACACAACCACTGTCAAAGAATTCACTTGATATTGTTTTATTTGAATCTTCCCATTGATGTTTTAGGACTGAAGTTGATCAGTCTCTTATTGGCATATGTGCATATGCCTCGATATTGCCATCCATCTCTGCTTATAATGCTTGTAAATTAAGGCAATATCGAGGCATACGCACAGTATGCACATATGCCAATAAGAGACTGATCAACTTCAGTCCTAAAACATCAATGGGAAGATTCAAATAAAACAATATCAAGTGAATTAAACTTCAACCCATTGCACAAGCAAGTGGCTATCAGGACTCAGTAGCTAAGTGGATAACGCGATGTTGTTTGAAGCGAACGGTACTGAGTTCGAGTCCCAGAGTGAACATCAACTCTGAGATGCAGGTACATCCAGCTGACGAGTCCCAAACAGGACGAAACGCGCGTCCTGGATTCCACTGCTAGTCACTATCCATCTCTGCTTATAACACTGTCAAGGAAGTCTTACTCACTGCCTTCTCGCGGCAGGGGTGTTGTTCACCAAATTGAGAGGACGAAATCCGAATGTCCAACGCTTTAACCGAGTTGGTGGATACAAAGGATCCATTTAGAGGATTTTGGAAAACCCTGAGTTCGATCCAGTGGTGTATATGGGCTCCAGTATTCTGAAGGATCAAATGGCGTATGAACCTCTTGATGGTCACCGGTTACTATGAGACTGCATCTTGTGATGTTGCTCCACTTCCTTGTGGATCAGACCTTTAGGTCGGAAGCTCCAGGTGTGGCTCCCTAAGGAAACCACCCGCTTCGGTTTGGGTACCCGGGCAGTATCACAGCCCACACACAAATCAAGTGACTTGTGTGGCGCACATGTATTCGGTGCCTCTTTGTACTAATATTTATAGGTTCAAATAAATAAGTAAACATCAACATCGCGATGTAGATACACCAAGCTGACGAGCTACAATTGAGACAAAACGTGCGTTTTAGATCCAATACTACTTGGTCTTTTAGACTGTCACACATAACTACATAAAATCTCTAAATTATCCTGTTAACGTTCATGTAAAAGTACGCTAAGTGATCCATTGTTTGATATCTTTCCATGTAGTCTACTTATTGTATGGCAAACTGATAGTGTTCCCTTAAATTTGACTCCATAAAACAACCAGCCATAACTATGCTTCCATGACTGATAATCAGGATCTATTATTAATAAAATGTTCTTTCTTAATTTGATAAAACCGAATCATTTTCAGACATATATTGTGTCATTAAATATTCTACTCTTGAAACTATTTTCATAATGAATCAATAATAATGTAGTCATTGATCTGAAAGCAGTGGTGAATAGCCTTCATACTTCTCAGTAGTATGAACTCGTATAAGATGAAAGTTACATATGTATTCCTAAATAATTGACATACTCTTTGTAATTATTTCTAGAATATAACTTATTTATTATCATTAGAAACAGAACATAAAAAACATATCTGATAGCTCGTTAATGCACCACGTAGCTAAATTATAACATCCTATCAATTCGTCTGTGTGATACCGGATCATACAAAACACCTTTTGAGATTAATCTAATAATATGACATTAGGCAAACAGGTTTGAATATATAACCATGGATTGATTGACTGATTCATTATGTGCGTATAAATAGACTAAATCTACCATTTACACTAAAAACATTCAACCAAAATTGTATGATCACTGAGTAGTTACGTCAGTTAACAAGTGAATGTTTCATAACAAATAATTACCGATATTAATCTTCTAAATTAGCTTTCTTAATTTCAGACAATAACATCAATCTAATTAAGAAAGTGTTTACGTATAGTTTGTATTTGTGTCAATTTATTTAGTATCATCTACATTTTGCAAACAATCTATTTACATAATCTTGTTCTAATCTTTTGTTTTCATTGGTTATGCAATAGTTTGATTATTGTATACACTAAATCACTATACTACTGACTATATCTATATGTTATCCACAAAATATTTGTGCTATTGAACAAAATAAAAACAGAATCATTGACTCATTTTAATCAGGTTTAATGTATTTTACTTGTAAACTTTTGATATTATTAACTAAATGAAACTAATTCATTTATTAATTATTTTTGGAATATTGACCTGGATTAATAATAAATATTTAAAATATCTTAACCAGTTCACTTTGATCACAGAACACAAAATCAATAAAAGAAAAATCAGCTGAAATTTAATTTTTTTCCTGACTAATGAAAGTTCATTTTTATCAAACCTAATTCTCATAAATATATAGATAACAAATTCTAAATGAAGCAGTTTTATGGAGATTTTAGTAATTTCAATAGTTGGAATCATGAGTCAATTGAACCGAAACCACCATGGAAAAACTGGAAGCACTGGACGGCCGTTTCATCCTAGTATTGGACTCCTCAAGCAGTGCGCATCCACGATCACGCTCCAGTGGAGACAATGGTGTACGGTGGCGCGATTTCGTGGATTGGTTGAAGTTAGACATTAATACCGTTGGATGCCGGCCAACTCAGTGGTCTAATTGTTAAGCGCTCGCGCGCGAGACTGATAGGCCCTGGATTTGAATCTCGCGGGGGTCGGGGTCGTGAATGCGCACTGCTGAGGAGTCTCATACTAGGATGAAACGGTCGTCCAGGGCTTCCAGTTTTTCCATGGTGGTTTCGGTCTAACTGACTCATGATTCCAAATATTGAAATTCTAAATGAACAAAATAATTTCAGTTCATAATAAGAATCACTTGTAAATTATACAGAATTTTGTACAAAATATATATTATATGGGATAAATTTCAAATTATTAAACAAATGTATGAAATTGTTAACTACGCTTTGTTAGAGACCTAAATCATTCAAGTAATGTATACAACGTTTTTATTTAAGTATGAACAGCTTTATAAATGGCACATTTATTTTGTAATTATGTAAACATAAAGATTTATGAGAAAGAGAATATCGCGAAAATAATAAGGTATATGGAATGAAAATCTTACAGAAAGCTTAATATTTGATTCAGATCAGATTCGATATACACTTCATTCATTTTATGCAAAGTATGAAATGATCAACACTCTTATGATATACAAATACCTAAGAAAAATCATGATTAACTGTTATGTAGTAATTAGATTGTGAACTCATAACGTCGTTACATTCACTTTGTAATGAAAAAATTTACAGAATTATTTATAATCTAGTAACATACCAATCTTCTCTTGAATGAATAAGAACTTACAACGTTGATTAACTCACACATCATATACAAGTACAAGAAAATTTAATTTACATCATTATTTTTGCCACAAGTTTTTTTTATTTCAATAGTGGATATACTCACTGGCTAATGTAGTGTATAAAAACATTCAAAATTTTGCATTTAGATAAGTTTGTTTCTTTAAAGAAACAAAGTTTTAAATTATCAATAATAATTTTGTATACATTATAATGTCTACAATACCATAGTGGCTAGATTCTTTCCCAATAGTAAAGTGATAATACAAAACATATAAGATGAATACAGCAACCACAAAAAATGAAGTCGATTAACATATACTATGGATTACCCGTCAAAACGAAATAAAACATTTATAGAATCAATTAATCACTTTTCTACAGAAATAAACATATAAAAAGGAAGAATATGATGTGAGAAGAAACAACAAATCAACATAAAATCAATAAACAGTGTATAACAAACATTTATAGTTGAATTTACAAATAAATAAGAAATAGGAAATTTCACAGTCACAGCCATGCCGTTCAATGATCAAAACATTGTTGTTTTAAATAAATATTTATATCATTTGCATATACATATATATTGAATAGAGGAACCATTTAACTATACAAAAATAAACATGTGTGTACACTATTTCTAAACTGTGTAAAATTTAAAAATATGGATTTACAATTGAAAAGTGAAAAAGAAGTGTTTATTTCAAAATAAAGGTATTCGTTAATTTCTTTTTTTTTGTTTTCATTTATGCTGTTAAGATAGACGTTGCATCAGATTTTACTAAATGATAAGATTTCAATTTGTTTAGAATGGCAGTATTCCATGATGAACGATTTTTGTTATACAAATTTAAATAAAGTCCAAATACAATCAAAAGACCAGACCATATGTATCTAATTGGTATAAATATTAAAAAGAATAATAAAAATATTATTATTTGAAAAAATATCCAGAGAACTGTTTAAATACAAAGGGATTTGTGGAGATTATAGAATTCTCATAGTTTTTGAATCATGAACTGATCTTAGCTAGACCACCATTAAAAACGTGGAAGCAGTCAACAAGCCTATAGTTCAAGTGCGGAAGTCCTCAGCAATAAGTATCCATGACCCCTTGCCCCGGGGTCGAACTTCGCACATGAACCCTCAGCCGCTATACCACCAAGCTGGCATCTAGTGGTGTACATATCTAACTTAACTCAATTTAAAATACCGAACAACCTACATCCGTTGTCTGTGGTGAATAACTATCTTCCTCTCGAAATGGTTTAACCTCATTAGTTACTAGGATCTCCAGGAGTTTCGTCTTGAATCTAGCAATAGATGAAGATTGAGCAGTATCTCTAAATAATGGAACTTAAGTCAAAATAACTACTTAATCCTTCCAAGTCTTCAAAAGTGGTCTAGTTAAGATCAGTTCGTGATTTAAACGATGGAAATTTCATTAATAATTATGTTTGGATAAACATATCAACCTATTCGAAAAAAATGAAATTTAAAATAATATAAATCATTAATTAGTGATTTTATATGTGAAACAGAAACTTCATAAATAAAAAATTGAACTTTCAAACAACAGGGTTGCGAATTTTTGTATGAACAGTAAGATCATATCAACAACTCACAAACAAACATAACGAGTGGCCGGTATATGAGGGTGGTATAAGAGCTGTCATACTCGTGTAATCGGTTAGCGATCACTGTCAATAAGTAGAACATAAAATGCCCACATTTAAAATGTAGACTAATGCCGTAAGACTGATATGAAGGTTTTTATACATCCATTATTTCTGAAACGCCATTGGAAATAGTCCACACATTCGTGTATTTGAATAATTACATATGTATCGGTTGTGACAAACTTACGTACAATGAAAAGCGAAGTGGTTCAAACCTAAGTGGTCCACTCTTGAAGCTATTGTGATGTTAATATAGTCATAAAACGTTCCCTATAAAACATTTTGATGGAGCTAGTTTTGTTTTATACTTGTGAAATATATAACTTCTAACTACAGATGCTCGAAGAATCTCTACATTCAATCGAGGTTATTTACAAAGGATTGTTTTTTCATGACAACATTGTAAATTATTCCGAGATCCAGCACAACATAATGACACATATTTATCAAAAAGTATGCTTGTTTTCTATTCAGTTCAAATGATTTTTCATAAATAAGAAACAGAGATGATTTTGAATAAAACAAGCAACAATTATAAGACCCATTGTTTACTAATTCAAACAACGTAACTGAGTAGGTCTTTTTTTTTAGAAAAAACAAACAAACAAAACACTTTTCTGTAAAAAAATTCTCTTGATTAGTAGTTCCAAAACGTAGTAAAAGCATTAAATAAGGAGTAAATACAATTAACTTAACTCCGCCTGGAGTCCCTCCGGGGGCTACAACCGGTCCCAAGCCCGGATAAAGAAGGAGGGTTGGGCATGGGGTTAGCGTCCCCATCCCGTAGAAAACTAACTCACTAAAAAAACGCTAACCAGAAAAAATTATTCAAACCTTTTAATCTCTGCCCTGGGAGTCAGAAGGTCTCCATTTAGAAGAACTATGACGCCTCATGATGAAAGCCGAATTCCTTCGGAAGTTACGAAGCCGATGCCTCTTCTGACAACCAGAGCGACCATTTATTTAGGTACATGGAATGTTCGTACAATGTGGGACACCGGGAGAGGCTTACAAATTGCTGCAGAAATGAGAAGATACAACCTGGAGGTGTTTGGGATCAGTGAAACACATTGGACGCAAGTTGGACAACAACGACTAGCTTCAGGAGAGCTTCTGTTATACTCCGGCCATGAAGAAGAAAATGCCCCACATACACAAGGACTTGCATTGATGCTGTCCAAACAAGCGCAAAATGCGCTTATAGGATGGGAATCTCATGGACCAAGGATCATCAAAGCCTCGTTCAAAACAAAAAAGGAGGGCATTACAATGAATATCATCCAATGCTATGCGCCTACCGACGACTACAATGAAGACGCTAAAGATCAATTCTACAATAGGCTGCAGTCAATCGTCGAGAAGTGCCAAACAAAGGACCTGACCAACAAATTCAAGATAGTCCTCAGCAACAAGTTCCAGGCCTTTCATGATCTACTTAAGGGAGAAGGAACTACTGTGGAGAGCAACTGGAAGGGAATCAAAGAGGCAATCACTTCAACATGTCATGAGGTCCTGGGTCACAAGAAGCACCGTTACAAGGAATGGATCACTGTTGATACACTGGATAAGATTCAAGAAAGGAGAAACAAGAAGGCAGCAATCAATACCAGCCTAACAAGAGCAGAAATAGCCAAGGCACAAGCTGAATACTCAGAAGCAAACAAGCAAGCGAAGATAGGCATCAGAACCGACAAACGTAAATATGTGGAAGATTTAGCAATGACGACGGAAAATGTTGCAAGAGAAGGAAACATGAGACAACTGTATGACACAACAAACAAACTCTCTGAAAATCGCCGCAAACCAGAACGACCATTGAAGAGCAACAAAACAGGTGGGTAGAACACTTCAAAGAACTATTGAATCGACCAGCTCCACTGAACCCACCCAACATCGAAGCAGCACCCACGGACCTCCCAATCAACGTTGGCCCACCAACAATTGAAGAAATCAGCATGGCCATCAGACAAATCAAGAGTGGCAAAGCAGCAGGACCAGACAACATTCCAGTAGAGGCACTAAAAGCAGACGTAGCGGCAACTGCAAGGATACTCCACATTCTCTTCAATAAGATTTGGGATGAGGAACAAGTACCAAAAGACTGGAAAGAAGGACTCCTTATCAAAATACCGAAGAAAGGCGATCTCAGCAAGTGTGATAACTACAGGGGCATCACTCTTCTCTGAATACCGGGAAAAGTCTTCAACAGGGTATTGCTAAACAGGATGAAGGACTGCGTAGACGCCCAACTTCGTGAACAACAGGCAGGATTCCGTAAGGATAGATCGTGTACAGACCAAATCGCAACTCTACAGATCATTGTGGAACAATCAATAAAATGAAATTCATCACTCTACATCAACTACATTGACTACGAAAAGGCATTTGGTAGCACGGACAGAACAACACTATGGAAACTTCTTCGACACTACGGCGTGCCTCAGAAGATGATCAATATCATACAGAGTTCATATGATGGATTACACTGCAAAATCGTGCATGGAGGACAGTTGACAAAGTCGTTCGAAGTGAAGACCGGTGTTAGGCAAGGTTGCGTACTCTCACCCTTTCTCTTTCTCCTGGTGATCGACTGGATCATGAAGACGTCAACATCTGAAGGGAAGCACGGGATACAATGGACATCTAGGGTGCAGTTGGACGATCTGGACTTCGCAGATGATCTGGCCCTTCTATCCTAAACGCAACAACAAATGCAGGAGAAGACGAACAGTGTAGCAGCAGCCTCAGCAGCAGTAGGTCTCTATATACACAAAGGAAAGAGCAAGGTTCTCCGATACAACACAGCATGCACCGATCCGATCACAATTGACGGAGAAGATTTGGAAGATGTAAAAACCTTAACATATCTGGGCAGCATCATTGATGAACATGGTGGATCTGATGCAGATGTGAAGGCGCGGATCGGCAAAGCAAGAGTAGCATATTTACAACTGAGGAACATCTGGAACTCAAAGCAACTGTCAACCAACACCAAGGTCAGGATTTTCAATACAAATGTCAAGACAGTTCTACTGTATGGGGCGGAAACCTGGAGAACTACGAAAGCCATCATCCAGAAGATACAGGTGTTTATTAACAGTTGTCTACGCAAAATACTTCAGATCCGTTGGCCGGACACTATTAGCAACAACGTACTGTGGGAGAGAACAAACCAGATCCCAGCGGAGGAAGAAATCAGGAAGAAGCGCTGGAAGTGGATAGGACACACATTGAGGAAAGCACCCAACTGCGTCACAAGACAAGCCCTCACATGGAATCCTCAAGGCCAAAGGAAAAGAGGAAGACCAAAGAACACATTACGCCGAGAAATGGAAATAGACATGAAAAAGATGAATAAGAATTAGATGAAATTAGAAAAGGAGGCCCAGGACAGAGTGGGTTGGAGAATGCTGGTCGGCGGCCTATGCTCCATTGAGAGTAACAGGCCTAAGTAAGTAAGTACAATTAACTTGACAGGAAATAATTTATTAAATCGATCACAATCGGTCAAGACACACAAGTTGGTAATTAAACAGACAAATTAATTTTAGTAATCGAAAATACTGTGTTGACAAATATCAACTAGCACGAAACCCATGTCTAGATCTTCCTGTTGATTGACTGAGAAGTTACTGATGCAGTGTATATAACATCTTTATAGATGACCAATGGGGAGAAATCGAAACCGACCAATAAATAGACTGTATCTGAAATAACTCAAGTCTATCAGTGATATAAATCTGAAAATCAATTTTGCCAAAACTCGCACTAAGATTATAAACCCTCTCTCATGATCTGTATGCAAATATTATATAAACAAGTATAAAATTACATTGTCTAGTAATAAAACCTAGTGTACGTGTCATATAGAAAGAAGCTCCAAGGATTATCTAAACACGATATTGTAATTATTACAACACTTCCAGTGATTGATAAATAGTGGATTCGATTACAGTGATATCTATTAAGCGGTTTGCCCTATGTACCGCAAGAGTTCAAAAGAACTGGCTAAAGCTAATTTACTATAATCAAACCAAACACGTTATAAATGCAATTCGAGTATATAGGAAGGTACTTAATCAATAGATGAATACGTTTTATCATTTATGAAAAATCATTAGCCTGTTATGAAATCAAACCAAAACAAGAAGTTAGTGTAATTATAAGAAAAACCAATGTTATGATAGATGAGTACCTAATAGACTGAACACAAAATGCAAAACTGGTGAACTCCAATCGCTCAGTCGTAATCAATGTAGAATGTGACACAAATTTACACTAGCCTAAGTCGTCATACTATATTATTAAAACGAAATGAAACTATCAAGTTTATTGATAAAGGAGTGAGATAATTAAAGCAGCAATGATAGTGAGAAAAACTAAATATTGAAAGGATGTTTCATTAAAACGGAAACAGACATTTCGCATTAAGGAATACTGAAAGTATAGATTTTAAAGAAGATAATGGATGAGTGTGTTTGTACCGATGTGATTAACTGAGAGGTATCTATTCTAATGCGTTCAACTGGTGGTCAGAATTTCTAAGCGGACCCCAAATAGGTAGTCTGAATTAACCAACATGGCTCAGACCAGCAAAAGACTCCAATTAATTCTTTACAATATCAGGTCAATTTCTTGGATTTTAATTCAATAATCCATATGTGACAAAACACACACAAACATATGTAGTCTTTTTTTAAAACTATATAACTTTTGACTAGATTTAAGCCAAGTCTCTATTGTACTGAACGAGAACACATGTGGGGAAAAGAAAATGTGCTTCAATACAACATTACTGAATACTTTGGTAAAATTTGAGAACCATACAGTAATATTTCACTTGAAATATATGCATCACATGTCTAAGACTTTGTTATTCTTTCATTTCCATACCAAACACCCTCTGTTCTTGTCCTTTTCTCAATAATTCTCTCAACTTTCTACCGTCAGGCATTCCATTTCCGACTGGTGATACACACTACTTATATCTGTCGACATCAGTCGAACACGCCACACTACTATCAACTTTTTAGTGATATGCGCAAAAACTAATCAGACCCAAACTTCGATTTAACACATGAAAGGAAAATTAATAGAGGAAACTTTATACATAATCAATATTTTTCAAGTAAGACATGCATCAATTAAATGCTTTTACGGTGAAGTCTAGGTCAATATACCAAAAATAATTAATAAATGAATTAGTTTCATTTAGTTAATAATATCAAAAGTTTACAAGTAAAATACATTAAACCTGATTAAAATGAGTCAATGATTCTGTTTTTATTTTGTTCAATAGCACAAATATTTTGTGGATAACATATAGATATAGTCAGTAGTATAGTGATTTAGTGTATACAATAATCAAACTATTGCATAACCAATGAAAACAAAAGATTAGAACAAGATTATGTAAATAGATTGTTTGCAAAATGTAGATGATACTAAATAAATTGACACAAATACAAATGTATTTTTAAAAAAAGAATTCTTTTTCTTTTGTGCCATGATTGGTTAAGAAATGCTATTCATTTTCAAAAGATGAGATCTAAACCATTGGTGGCTTAATTTTCTAATGGATATATAATATTGTGCATTTACTGTTTCACCGATTTCTGGTTGATCGTGTGTACCAACTTTCCCTCCTAAAAAGTAGATGTGACTTCTCAGATTCAATAGAAGGCGTTGAGATGGTGGCACATAACTATTTTCGATACATATGTTAAATGATTAGTTTGTGTATAATCTTTGGTGTTTCATTCCCAACAAATAATTCCCTTGATAGTTTGATTCATGAACTGATGTTTATGTTGTTGCTTTAAGGTCATTGTCATTCTTATTTATTGTGGATACAGAAACCAGGCTGTATTGCCTAAATCACTTTCTTCGTAATATTCTCCCATGCTGTATGTTTTTATTTTGAATGTACCACTTGTATTACCGGCTCGAGGTCACATCATGTTACCACTCATCTCTTAAAACCACGCTCCAAAAAACATAACGGTTCTTTAGGTGTTAGAACCATGTGCTAAATCGGGCAACAAGCTTCACTGTCTAAGATCCTAAACTCGCATGCGTCTGGAATATATGTTGTCGGAAAGTCACATTTCAGACCCACCTACGCTTATTCATTTGATGCCAGCTAGTTCAATATCAAGATCCTGTGAGACTCATTATTGAAACTGAACAACAACTTCCTGTAGGCTTACTGGCATAGATATAGCTCCACGCTCAAAGCCGAAACAAGGAATCTCGAGTTCGGTTTCACTGGACAGTTGCTTCAATACATTCTGGCGGAAGGATCAGTAGCATATCTGAAGAGGACGGTAGGATGCTATTCATTCTTTGCCTCCAAATGCCCTGGTACGGCTGTGAGTGAGGAGAGTCAAATATCCCTCTCTAAATGCTATCACGTGACCACACGTATACAACCACTGTCAGGGAAGTCTTACTCACTGCCTTCTCATGGCGGGGTTGTTGTTCACCAAATTGAGAGGACGGAAACCGAATGTCCGGCGCTTTTACCGGGTTGGTGGACACGTAGAGTTCACCTAGAGGATATTGGAAAACCCTGATTCCAAATCAATGATGTACATGGGCTCCATGATCCTAAGGAAACAAATGGTGTAAGAACCTATTGTTGGTCACCGGCTACCATGGGACTGCATCTCTTTACGATGCTCCACTGTCTTGCGAATTAGACCTCTAGGTCAAAGGCTCGGGGTGTCGCTCTCCAAGAAAAGCACCTGATTTGGTTTGGCCACCCGGGCAGTATCACAGCCCTCACAAAAATCTACGATAACGGCTGCTGGCCTCACTATTATTGTGCCGCGCATATGTATTTGGTGCCCTCCTTGTACCAATGTTTATGTGTTCAAATAGAAAAATAAAATAATTTTTAAATAGATTGGTTGGAATATTGTATTCATAATATAAAGCACATAATTAATAAACTTACCCTTGGGAGAAAGGTTTTTCAAACATAATAAATGATACGGCGATTGAAACAGCTTTCCTAAACGTTGTAACTTAAAAAAATAATAAAACAGGAATTCGTTGAGTTAACGAAAATGGCTTAAGATGAAATACCTAACTCTTTCAACATACAGAGGAAATGCATATAAAAGGTAGAGAGAAAGAGAGAGCCAGGAGGAAACCTTCACACAATGTAAATTAGTAAACACTTTCAAGAATTTAAAGGGAATTTTTCACCGCAAACCAACGCCAGTTGAAGAACCAGTAAAAAATCAAAGAGCACTGAACTACTATTTTACTTTTGTTCAAGTAACGGTTTATCTTTGTTTATTTACAACCACCACTTATGAGATCGGAATCAGAACGGTCAGAGCTTATTAGATGTATCTAACATTTTAGGGATAACACAAATGTTATAAACGTCAATTCCCAAATGAACGATCATGAAGTGATGATTAATCAGAACAATATTAAGAAATTCGAACATCAATCGAATAGTTTGTTTCAGGCCTGTATTACAAAACTATTTATTTTCAATGAAATTTTCATTTAATACTAACTTTGCAAAAAATTGATACCTTATCATTATCATGAAGGTGAAGACTACTAATCATAATTTATGCTATAGTATTATTCAACAAAGAAAATACTGGTTTTCGAAAGGTGTTTTCTATAGATCGTCCATCAGTTCAAAACGTTAATTATGTTGTAACTGCCAATTTCTTAATGAACTCATACTCTTGTTTACAAAACTGGTGACTATTATAGTATATGAACCGATAAAAATGCTATGACGTACAGTAATCCATTTGGCGTGAACCATACACTTCACACTATTCAAATCTTTGTGACAAATGTTCTGTCTAAACATTTTATGAATCACGTTTTTTAAATAATGTACCATGTTGTCTGAGGAAGAGGCTTACACTGAGTCACGAAACTCCAGAGTTTTTTTTTTCTTCGCATTGGGATATTACAAAAATATATTAATTTATTTATAACAATCTACCCAATGCTCAGTTTACTCGAAATTATCACGTCAAACCTTGATAATGACACCCACAAATGTACCATAATATTTTTACACATTAAATTCCTTTTGCATTACCTAATCGTGGTTGTAAATTGACTTGTATTTTAATTACTTCAGGAATATTTGTTTATTTATTCAAATAACAGTTATGTCCATTTATACAAGTACGTGACTCAGCAATATCATTCAAATCCCACTGAGATATTTTTAACTGGTATTGATTAGATATAACAGAAAGTATACTTGAATAGTGAAATTACGAAACGAAGAGTTGATCAATGTAAAAGACGTTGATATTTAAAAAAAACCTGTTGATGTGGTCAGATAATCTTATGAAAGCCTTCATCTTCGTAAAAACGATGGATTCTGTGATTGGAACTATCAATATTCAACGATTTGAGTCTAAATCCTATTGTGTCTACTTTATTTATTTATTTATTTTAACACATAGATAATAGTACAAGGAGGCACCAAATACATATGCGCCACAGAAATCTCATTTGATATGTATGAGGGCTGTGATATTGCCCGGGTGCTCAAACCGAAACGGATAGCTTTCTTAGGGGGCCACAGCCGGAGCCCTCGACCTGAAGATCTGACCCACAAGACAGTGGAGTATCGTAAGGAGATGCAGTCCCATGGTAGCCGGTGACCAACAATTAGTTCATACACCATCTGTCCCTTTAGGATACTGGAGCCCATGTACACCATTGGTTTGAAATCAGGGTTTTCCAACTCCCCTAGGTGGACTCTCCATGTCCACCAACCCGGTTAAAGCGTCGGACATTCGCTTTTCGTCCTCCCATTTTCGTAAACAACACCCCTGCGCACGAGAAGGCAGTAAGTAGGACTTCCCTAGCAGAGAATATATACGCGTGGCCATGTGAGAGCATTTAGAGAGGGATATTTGACTCTCCCCACTCTCAGCCGTACCAGAGCATTTGGGGGTTGTGTCTACTTTAGTTATGGTTAAGGAAATTATTTGCTCTTACATCAAAAATTTAGTTTGAAACTAAGTATATGAACATGTACTTGACTAGTGAGTAACATCCGTAAAATATTCTTTTTGTAAAGAGCACAGCTAACACATATTTGCTTACAAACAGTCAGTCAGAATCAGTGTAGAACCCAGCGTACATGTACACCAGTTCAATTTGTTATAAAATATCAACACAGTGACATAATAATACTATTACAGATTCCAGAGCAATTGAAGTACTAACAGTATCAGTGACAGTGCAAGGCTTTAGAGATAGAAAATATAATTCGAGAAAGAAATGAATTCTCGAAACAAAAAGTACAAAATAACTTTAAAATTCAAGATCTAAGAAAAGACAAAGCATGAATGAATCAATGCCAGTGTGACTGATTCCGAGCAATTTCACTCAATCTCTTCAATCAATGGCTAAGACAATCGCGTGGACCTCAACCACTTAATTGGAATATATCAATATGGCTCAGACCGACAATCAATGACTTCATGGACTAATGTCACGTATCGGTTTTGTCACTCCCAGTTTTCTTCCAACAATGCCAAACATCGGCAGAGTTTGGATATACGTAATGCCTATCTCTATTCACTCAGTCTATGAAGATTCACTGCCCCATCAACTGGTTTACCATCCTCACCTAGTATACTGTGTCTTTCCTCAACATGGCTTACTTAGTAGTGTTAACAAGCACAAGTAGTGATTCGAAGGTATTTATAACTAAACAGCAGTAACCTACGGATATTCTTTATTTTTAAGGACAACGTTTCACACCTATAAAGAAGAACGGAACAAACTACAGTGTAGTATGTTTGTTCTTTAGTTGACAGATGAGCATATCATCTATGTTAGAGCTGAAGCAAGTATGTGAAAGCTAACAGAGCTTTTTAAAACATGCCAAAATCAGACAGATATCAACCCAGAAAACCTGATGATACTTTCAAGATAAGGGAAGTGATGGACAACTTAATAAATATCTACTTATTATTCCGAAAATTAATTAAAGTACACACCAATAAAGTTATGTACAAAGTGTAACTTGATACAATGTAATAGCATAAATGCCACTGGTTGAAGTCGATGAGTCGTCAGAGACTATAATTGACAACTATGAGTATAACAGCTCAAAAATGACCTCAGTTGAGCAATTAATTTCACTTCCTAATCTCCTTTAAATTTTGATTGAGGAACCATTTCACACACTAATTCTTCCATGTTACTTATTTCTTTAGAACTATAGTTCTTATACTTTAACTTTTAAGTAGAATAATACCTCGACAAATATATTGTAATATTACAAAATTTTTATATTTCAAGAGAATAATCAATTTATTTTTGAAAACAAATTGAAGGGAACAAAGTATGTAATAGTTTCCTGGTACGGCCGAGAGTGGGGAGAGTCAAATATCCCTCTCAAAAATGCTTTCGAATGACGACGAGTATATAACCACTGTCAGGGAATTCTTACTCACTACCTTCTCGCAGCAAGGGTGTTGTTCACCCAAGTGCGAGGATGGAAACCGAATGTTCGGTACTCTTACCGGGTCGATGAATACGGAGATTCCACCTAAAGAATATTGAAAAATCCTGATTCCAAACCAATGATGTACATGGAATTCAGGATCCTAAGGAAACAAATGACATATGAACCTATTGTTAGTCACCGGCAACCATGAGAATGAATCTCCTGACGTTGCTACACTGCCCTGAAGACCAGACCTTTAGATCGAAAGCCCCGTGTGTATCCCCCTAAAAAACCACCCACTTCGGTCTGGACACCCGGACAGAATCTCAGCCTTCACACAAAATCAAGTTACTTGGGTGACGCATATGTATTTGGTGCCACCTTTGTACCATTGTTTATGTGTTCAAATAAATAAATAAATAATTCTAAGAATTATATATCTGAAATTATTGGGGTGAAAGTGACAAAATTTTCTTTTACCTGTAACAGCAGTTAATGCTCCATGTGAATGAACTAAACACAGCACAAATTGTACACCGAAATAACCGGACAATGAAAATATAAAACCATAACCATAAGTTTGTAAAGCATGCTAATTAAACAAAACAAAAAGAGACCATATTGAAAAAAGAATAAATAATATTTCATGGAGAATTTAACATGTAATAATAATAATAATAATAATAATAATAATAATAATAATAATAATAATAATAATAATAATAACCTGTTATACAATTCAATGTTAAAAATACATTAGTTTTAATTCTAATGTTATATGGATACAAAATTATGATCAAAGATGTATAGTGGCTAGCAGTGGAATCTAGGAAGAGCATTTCGTCCTACTTGGGACTCATCAGCTGGATGTACATGTATCCGAGTCGATGTTCACTCTGGGACTCGAGCCCCGTACCGTTCGCTCCAAATGCCATTGCGTTATCCACTTAGCTACTGAGTCCTAATAGCCACTTGCTTGTACAATGGGGTGAAAGTTTTAAATTCATTTGGTGTTGTTTAGTTGTATCGTCCTATTGCTATTTAGGACTGCAATTGATCAGTCTCTTGTTAGCATCTTTGCTTATAAAGCTTGTGACTTAAGGCAATATCGAGGCAGTCCGCACAGGATGCACATATGCCAACAAAAGACTGGTCAATTGCAGTCCTAAATAACAATTGTAAGATACAATTAAACTACACCAAGTGAATATAAAATTATATTTTAAAGAAGGAATGAAGTGAAAAGTAAAGAAAAACAATTCATTATCAGTGACATTAATACGGATAGTGTACATTTTATCATTATTAATCAATGTAAATTAAACCAAGAAATTAAAATCGACCAACAGATTTCAAACTTTTATTCAAAAGGTGTGTTCACTAAAATTAAACAGGCATACAGAGTTTGATATTCCATTTTTAATGTGAATTGTAGTGGGTTTACCACTACCAATTAAACCATTCAATGTTTAAAACAACAAATCATTCATCAATTCTTCAAATTATAGTTATAATCATAATAATAAAGCATTCATTCGTCTTCTATTAGTCAACCTGAAGATTTAATTGATCATGTTGTCTAGTAAAATAATTAATGATTCACTAAGAAACCACCTAATTTCAGGGAAATAATATTAGTGGAAGGTTGATTAATTTTAAATTTGTTTTTAATTAATGATAAGTAACAGCACGATTGGACAATCGATGAGAATTAAAAAAAACACTAAATAATTTATTTGTCTTAGTTTGGAGCCCCCATTTCAGTAAACATTCATGACGTTACACACAAGATTGGGTCCAATGACCTTCAGATTTTATAGCAATCATGATAGATTTCTTCATATACCAAGTGCAGTTTTACGTACCTAAATTTGGGTTACACTTTATTTGTGTGAGGGTTAGGAATACTACTTGATCAACTAAACTCAAGCAGGTGAGAGGGGGTCCAAACATGTAAAATACTAGTTGAAAGTCAACGGCTTTTGTTATGACCTTGGGTATGTCTGGTTTTACTATCACGCGACCTATCTACCAATCCGGATACGACTTATACGAATATTCACACTAGGCCAACCAATGACGTTCAACCGGTGTGGGCAGTCTAGCGTCCTTATTGGTCCTATGTACTACGAGCCCTTCCACTTGAGTCCAGAACGCAATACCAGCTTCGAATCAGAGCAGATCAGAGCAGATCAGAGCAGATCAGAGCAGATCAGAGCAGATCGTTTATTTCAAACATACTCGGTTTATATATCAAACAGACAGACCACAACACACCATAAATTAGGAAATAACATATGTACACAAATAAGCCAAAAAGTGGCTGTGAACGAGGGGGACAGTAATTAATAGACTGAACATATTTTAAGAACCGTAAATCGTACAATAATAAATTATAGATCAAAATAAAGCTTATAATAAGAGGGATATAAATATACATAATCTAATGATTGAATAGTTTTACAATAAGAATATTTATAGAATATTAGTCCACTAATAGTCCTCGGGAGTTACCTGTAATTTAATCTTCGCTCGGATATAACAGCTTTAACTGTTAAACTATCACAGTATGATACCGTTAAAATACTGAGCACAAGTTTAACGGTGTGTATTTTCATTACCAGACAACTTGCGATAAGAGCAGATAATCACCAAACAGTATCAGTGGAACGTGCCTACGTCAGTCGGTAACGAGTGTACATCGCTCAAAGGTATCAAATCAAATTGGCATGGTGAGATGAAACTATCAAGATTAATATCGAAGTAGTAGTAGTGTGATAGTAAAAATAATTATATCCCTCACAAGTGACCTGATTGAAATTGACCAGTCATGAATTTCTAGCCAGACGAATGGTGAAGTTGTAAATGTAGGACCGGATTAATACTTATTACCATTTAGATTTTCATAGTTCTATGTTGAATGAAAACTGATAATAAATATTGTGATAAACTAAATACTTCACTTGTATAAACAAATATTTAAAAAATTAATAAAACGAAGGTTAATTAATTAGTAAAAGTACCATGAAATAACCAAATAATACCTACATCATTAAAAAAATAGAAGGATGGCAATAAATTGCCGGATATTGTTAGAACGGAAGCCAACAAACAAAAGCCCAATGAATACGAATAAAACAGCTGAAATATTAGTTCATTTCAGAAAAAATAAAAATAAAAGCATAAAATCGAGAAACGTTAAAATAAAGGGGAAAACGTTTATAATGAAATGTTATTTAAATGATTCAACTAATATTGATTCAATTTCCATTTACAAAAATATACAGTCAACTGGAACTCTTGAAGATATCGATATAAATAAAATAAACAATTATGGGCTTTGTGACCTGGTGGTTCCCGTACAATACTCTGATAATTTCAAGGATATTATCATTCTACTTATTCCCTGAACACTTTTTGAGACAGGAAAAGTATTACAATGGAACAATACAATAATTCTTAAGGAATAGAAAGAATTAACCTTGACAATTACGTATTAGTTGGTCAGATAATGAATGATCTACAGAACTAATATGTTCCGATCACTTATGACATTTGATCATATAAGATTTTTTCACAATTTGTATATAAATATGTGATTCCATTAAATGAAAAACATTTTTTCCGTTTCATAGTTTTGCATTCGATATTAGTTCATTCAGGAATTTCAGAAAATATTCTCTTCTTGAAAGCAACCATAAGTTGAACACACGGGTATTATTGTATCTATCTAGCGTTTGGCCCTCTATTCATTTATACCAACCAAGCAAAATTCGTCACGGTTCGTCATCTATCCTAACTCACAAAATTTAGAATAGAGGATTGGTGGACATCATTTCATTTTAATTTCAATAGTTGTCTAGCTAAAGTCAGTTCGTTATGGAAAATACGGAAATAGTAATTAATTTATGCGAACATTTTAAACATTATCGAGAGAGTTAACTTACAATCTCTGAATTTGATCTAACATACTTTTTCATGATAATTTCTTGAAAATTACCCAAAGCTCCATCACAGCATAATGCGAGCGAAACTAGAAAAACTCCTACAATAAGAAAAATAGTTTAACCAATGATTGTAAAAACATTGTTGAAATTTATGAAAAATTTCATTTCTCTGGTAAACTTTCAATAAACGATAAAAAAATTTATATGTATCATACAATAAATAGTTCATATAAATAGACCCGACCGTAGCTGCTACTATGACGTGGTGTTCGGGCTTGCCTATCGTAATGAACCAGTAGAGCTATACTGGCTGGAACAATTGTTCCTCAAGGTTCTATCATGCCAGATAGGTCGGCTAAAGAGCTGTAAGACTAGAAGAAGCAAGCCCAAGATCCGAGTGCAAAGTAGTACTGCTGACTGTACAGTTGATACTGACTGACTGAATGTACAGAGATGTGACAACAGTAAGGTGCTTCCTTCAGGCAAGCAGCGTAACAGCGATGCTGCCTTCTTACAAGTAGGGATGGGGTTAGAAACGGTCGAACCTAAAAATGCACACCTCGCCTTATCCCACGGATATCAATCTCCGGCGGTAAGGTTTCAACAAGTACAGAGCTAACACGAAAATTACTCACAAAAACGTCGCGTGTGACCAACCTCAAGCAGTTGTCCCTTGGGCACTGCGGCCACACTCTCTGGTCACTAAGAACAACTCTAACCTAATTTCCTTTTCAGCTGCCTCAGTAAGAACCCTTCCGCGGTGTGGGTAACCGGGAAGTGATAACTGCCCTCATACCTCTAACAGCACTTAAAACCACTGTATTCATAATCAACCTCCCTCTTCAATTCCTGTTATTCATACATCAATTTTCGACTCTAAACTTCCTTTTTAGCGTCCTCCTCAAGTGTCACCATAGCCAACGATTCTATTGCGCAAAACACTGTCCCAGGTCTACTGAAACTTCGCTTCAAAATACACATTGAAGCCTTCAACATACGCAACCTGTGTCAAACCGGTCAGCAGGCTTCCTTGGCTAGAACCCTAGAACCTCGTACCATTGATGTATGCTGTGTCTCCGAAACACGCATACAGGATCCTAATGTGGTCATTCACTTGACCTCACATCGACAAAAAGGGAAAGTCGATGAGATACACTCTCCGTGTATCTGGCGACCCGAAAATATTTAAGTCGGGTAGTTTTATTTAACCAATGGTATAAAACACATTCATATAATCAGTTTAACGGCAAATATTTGATTCCACTTTCAATTTGATAAACAAACAAGTATCAATCACTCTGGATGTTCGACGTTACTTCAGTATTTGAAAACCATCTTAAATCTCTCGTTGGCTGGAACAATTATCGACCTACAAATGCTCACATGATTGTAAAGATAAACAAAATTTCAAACTGATTTCAATGGTTTACTACCAAGAGTGAACATAAAACAAACTAAAAACAGTCAACTTATTTCACCTTTCAAGCATGCTTAATATATTACTAAATGTCAGTGTAGTTATCAAAGCTAACGCTAATCTAAATAATAATGGAAATACATAAGAAACAAGCTTACCAAACAAAGTAAACTTAGGCTGTATAGATACATCAACCAATGTAAAACAAATTAAACCTAACGTCATCAAAAGCACCGCCAATACTTCATAAATGGAATATCTTCTTCCTAGGTGATAATTACATAAGATATACTTCAATTTACCTTGTATAAGAACTCCACCTAACAGCACTGGGATCATTTTACAACACTTGAATATCACTTGAGTTGGATAGTTAAGAAAGCCGACTGAAGCATTAGAAAGAGCAATTGAACCCAACGTTAATACAGCTACAATAGCATAGAGATGAATCCATGGGCTAATAAAATAAATGTGTAAAACATATGAAATCTTAAAATTAGAACTTTACTTGAATAGTAGATAACCATGAGCACGTAGTTCCAAAAATGATAAAACTGAGTAGATTCCAAATTGATATAGTGTAAGGAATGGACTATAGGATCGTAAATCATTGGCAGAGAATATTGCTTCCTACAATGAAAATATAACCTGAAATATAATACCGTTTTTTTTAAATCGGTAAACATTAAGAATTAAGTTATGTAGATGGAGTTGAATGACATTGCAAAATTGAAAATTTTGGGTAAGCAGCACTACTGAAAAATATTTTTGCCAATAATTTTTAAGTTTCACATTACGCTAAACGATCGATAAAAATGATATACCTAGGTTTTAGAAACGACGTTAAATATTACGGAGGAATTCTAGTTTGACAAAACAGTACATTTTACTTTATTTGATACGTTATGTGCAGCACGGTTTATAGACGACAGTAGAAAACATATTGCTATTACTCTGATTAATTGTTCATTATCCAACTTGTTACCCGTTGTTTTGATCCCTTGTACTTATACGGATTTCTTTTAGAACACAATGGAATTACAAAATATTAACATTTTCCGAAACTTTTGTCTAAATAAACATGCCAAGAACATCAAACATACTGTTAGTTAACACCACTAAAACATAATCAATCTAGATCCCTGAGTCTAGAAAACTCGTTAATACAATTAATCCAAACAGTTATCTTCAAAATGCAATTTACATACTCAGCTGGAGCAACACAACGAAGTAACTCATTTTTGTTTTGTAAAACCCGAAGACTGCATTAACATTATTTCGTCAAAACATTAGACTACGTTGCTTACCATTGACATTAAGATAATTACTCAAGCGCCTAATTTATCGACTTATATTTTCACTAAAATGTTAGTTTTATGATAAGAATTCTAAATTAGTCATCAATAACCACAACACTCTTAATGAGAACCGAATTTTTTCAGTTTTCCAAGATGTGGTTACAGGATAAAGGGCTATCTTAAAAAAACTATGAACAAACAACTAAGCTTTTGCCATGGGAACTACGCGTGCCACAGAGAACGAAAAGCATCTATATTTGAATAAGCAATGACAAGTTCAATGAGTAAGTATTGTTAACACGATTACTCAGTAGCTGCAAGGAAGCTAAGATTTGTAAGGCCAACACGTATATTATCTAGTATGTAAAGTATTTGAAGTAAATATGACCAACTGTTCGAATTCCATGACAAATAACACAAGATCTGATGTAATTTATTCAATTTTACCCCAAACATCACTGAAAATGAGTAGCATTGAAAACAGAAAACAAGACAAATAATATGTAGTAACATAGATTTATAATATCAGCAATAATTTACCATTTCTAAAGAGTTTATTAAAGGTTAAGAGCAGAATGAAATTGGGGAAATATTGTTGTAGTGTGAGCTACTTATATTGATATAAGTAGTATATAACGTGCGTCAAAAGAGCGTAAGGCCTGGGAGTAGAAGATGGCGAAGATCAAGAAAGGTAGAGCGAGGACATAATGGAATTTGCAAGAAAACCTATGAACAATGGAATGGGAGACAATGGATTAGTGTTTGCAACAGAAACAGTCTGGTTTGATTTGATACATGAATATTTTGCAAATTGACGATTTACTATATGGTATTCGGATTTTATTGAGATAGTCTGTGATTGTTGCGCTAAATACATCCGTTTGTCCCCACCAGTGTTCTCGTTCACTACATTGTGAGCGGCATAATGCACAACACAGGAAAATGAATTTACTAAACCTAGAGTCCCAAACTCAACACTGCAACAAAAAGCAATTTCAGGATGCGTTTTACTCAAATGATTTGAAATCGCTCATTCCTATGAAATTGATGGCTATTATAGTAACTGTACTATATTCGCAAGTCACTTGGTTTACTGACGATACAAATGCGACGAAAGTCTGTAATCATATTCTTATGAGGACTGATGAGGAAAAATTTGAAGAGTATTGTTCACAACCAATGAGTCAACCTATAAAGATTAATATAAGCACAAAAATAAATACTAAGGGATGTTGAAAACGTTTTGAACAACAAATTTATAACACTCAGACTCCAATAGATTGAAATATAACTGTTAGGATTAGTTTTTACCGAGTTTTAAGATTTCTCGCAGTACAGTACCTTGTGTGATGGTATAACAGACATTTATGTTTTTACTTTTTAAATTAGATTTGAAAGTCAGTTACGGTAGACGTTCCTTAGTTAAGGCTGATTTTAACTGCGAAATTTTCGAAAAGTAAACCAATAAGTAGATTATGGCATATTACTTCAAAATTTTGAATGGGAAGCTAGTGACATGGTGAAGGATTTGTGAGTTAGATGGATGCTTTCATTAATATCCTATCCTTCAAGGGAAATGATCTTATCAAATCACTTTCAATGTTATTCTGCGCAATATCACCGGCCCCTACTTCGAGCAGAAACGTTTTGACTGTTTTAAAAAAGCTTGGTCAATAAACTGTTTCAGCAGATTTCGATAATAATGGAATATTCACTCCAAAGCTTTTGCGGTATCCTTGGTTTTTTTCCGAGCCTCCATTGTGAAATGTCTTGAGAAGTAACCTATGCTGATAATAAGTCCTTCGTGAGCAAACATGACATCTTTGACAGCAAGGGATTACCAAGGTGTACGCCACTACACTAACAACATACAAATCTGTTTATCACGATCTCTAAATCGTCGCTACTCTTAGCCCGTAGTTAATCTAAGCATGATAAGCATAACTTTCTTACCATGTACAGGCTAATGTAATCAGCTTATTTATTTCAACATATAAACATTGGTACAAGGAGGCGCCAAATACATATGCGTCACAAAAATCATTCGATTTATGTGAGGGCTGGGGTACTGCATGGGCGCCCAAACCGAAGCAAGTGGCTTTCTTAAAAAGCCATACTCCGAGCTTTTGACTCAGAGGTCTAATCCACAAGGCAGTGGAGCAACGCCACAAAATGAAGTCTCATGGTAGCCAGTGATCAACAATAGGTTCATACGCCACTTATTCCCTCAGGATCCTGAAGCCCACGTGCACAAATGGTTTGGAATCAGGGTTTTCCAACATTCTCTAGGTAGACCCTTCGTACCCACCAACCCGGTAAAAGCGCCGGACATTCAGTTCCAGTTCTCTCATTTTTGTAAACAACATTCCTACCGCGAGAAGGCGGTAAGTAGGACTTCCATGAAAGTGGTTGTAAGCACGTGGCCATGTGAGAAAATTTTGAGGAGAGTTGACTCTTCCCACTCTCGGCCGTACCAGGGCATTTGGGGGCATGTGATCAGCTTAGAGCCATGCTGTTTGTTAGCAATATTACCTATCTGCCGGAACCAAAGTAGATGGAATAGAGTCGCATAGTTTATCTTAGTTGAAATATAATCAGCACAATTGCAATTAACTGGCTTTTTTTATTAATGTATTTAAGGTGTTTTGTCAACAAACTTTGCAGACCACAGAACAAATCATAGGCCAATTGGACGTAATCTATTCGAAATGTGACAATTCCAAATTAACTTTGAAGACATGATGAATTGATACTGAGAAGTTTTGAAATTTATTATAAAGAATCCACTAATTTTTTCTAAACAGATAACTGTAATCAAAAACTAAATTAAACCGGCGGCGTGAAACTTACTGAAAACCATTAATATGATATCTACAATATCAATTAGTCGATAAAGAAAAAAATTGGGTTATCGTAATCTCATAATAACCCCAACGAGACTTAAGTCTCATATCTACTGTAGTATTCTAGACTCAAAGACACCGAGTAATATTTTTTCTGCCATATGCTAATCACCTTTGAATTACCTAGAAACGGGTGTTTCAAGTTCGTTAGCGGAGAATTAATGGTATTTCGAAAACCTTGGTTAAACACGCTCTTCGATAGACAACTACTTCTTGCCAATCTGAAAGCAGTTTTCAGAGAGATGCCTAGTCGCAGGTGAAAATACAATACAACTCCCTGAAAGTTATGAATCTGTTATTCTATTTTTTATCTGTATATGTTTACATAGGCACACATGTGTGTATAAGTGCCTACTTATCGACCAACAACAACTCAATGTTTTCAATGAATTAACTTCTGGTCTAAAACTAACCTAAACCAAACCAATAGCAATGAATCAGTAATGCAATCACCTGTAAAGCTCCGAAACATATATACAAAATAAAAATCCCAGCAACTGAAACACCCAGTTTCCAGTTGGGTGATAGACTTGACATGTTGAACCCGCATATGTATATTTCATTATTTTTTGGCATTGCGTTAATTTTTGTGGAGGCCTGTTCCATCATTTCGATATTATCGGCTTTTTAAAATGCACAGCGTCGAGATAAGAAGGTTGCGAGGAGAAGTGACGTCACAGCGTTGTCGCTCAGATTGAGTAACATTTGTAAAAGTGTCAAGGTCACAATTCTGTTTCTAGTCTTCAGACCTCAATAGCAGTTGAAGAAGAAGTAGTGCAGATTATACTATCGACTCATAGTGGTTTGAAGGCCACTTCGACGAGCGTTCAAATACTTTGACGGGATGTTTCAAATTTTATATACCACCTATATATCACCATTGAGCGCTCGTTTCAAAAAGGGCAGTGATTTTTGTACTAGTTGTGATTATACTTGCTTTGGGTACTTATTGCACTAAAAAGCATTCTTGGTCTACTTTAACTAAGAGTACTTTGGTTAAAATTTGAAATTTTTTGCTAAATTTTGTCCTGAGTACCTGTTTTTAGTCCTTGACTAACACTTGTGCTCACATTGTTATCGTTTTTTGTTTTTAAACCTCTTAAATCGAATTACAGTGGTTGGTAAGACTCACAAATGTGGGCAACCAAATTGTTTGTTCTCCGTTGAGGAGGGGATGCAGTGTGACGATTGTAAAAAGTGGTACCACAAAATGTGTACACGACTAAGTCCGACGGCTTACAAAAGATGCTCGAAGCCTAACTCGCATTGGCTTTGTATGTTCTGCTGTACGGATAAAAAGGTACTAATACAAGAGGCTATGGGCCTATTGGCTTTGGCCTGCAAGAAAAACGACGGCGGAAGCACTGATAACAGGAGCACTGACGATGAAGAATGTGGCAGTGTAGTAAGTGCTGCTACTGGACTCGTTAAACACTTGACCACGGTTGACGGGAACGTGAAATCTCTGTTGACATTAACGAGGAATGAAGTGTCGCTTGATATTGACATCGGCAGTCATACACCTCTAGTCGAAATAGGAGATCCGGATAAAACTGTCACCGTTCCACATAGTCCAGGTGTGGCCGTTCTGAGTGGCGACAGATGGACTTCGGTAAGAAGGAAAAAAAATAAAAATAAAAAGGCTGTAGGCAATGCGCAGCTGGTCAGCAAGACATTGGAAGGGGTGTTATCAGAAGAAAAATCCTCACCGCGTGACAAGACAGATCTCTCTGATAGATCAGTCATTTTTCATAAGATAAGAGAATCTTCGGATACTGAACCAAAGGCAAGATTTGAACATGATCTCAATCATATTAAGACATCATTAAGTAAACTACTCCCAGATACAGTTTCAGGAGTTAGTATTTGTAAGCTTTATAGAATAGGAAAAAAGGTGGATTCCGAAAGTCCTCAGAAAAACCGCCTCCTAGTGTAGTTCATCTGGTCCTGTTGACTTTTCCATATCTAGGGTGCTAAGAGCCTTAAGCACATCGTTTTGGTCGAAGTCCACGGTAAGCAGCTGGTTTGTTGACTCTGTAATTGGGTCTGGTTCTTTCTCTAGAGGAGGTTCCTGAGTGAAAACTGCCCCAAAATAGTCAGCCATAACCTCAGCTTTTTCCTGATCTTCCTCTATCAGTTCAGATTCACTTCCTACTTCAATTAGGTTGTGAATCCAATGATGAATCCTTGTTCTGTAGTTTATGTACGAGAATATCCTCTTGGGCTGCTTGAGTGCAGATTGTGCCAGCTGCATTTCAAATTTTCTTTGCGCTTCCCGAATTTTAGTTATACACTCGTTTCTTATCGATCTGTAACGTTCCAGCGTACCTGCTGTGCCAAGGCGGATGGCAACATCCCAGCATTTCTTCTTTTGTCTTAGTGAGCGTCGAATATCCCGCCCTATCCAGGGATGTCCGTGCTTCTTTTTCTTTGGGACAGTCCAGGGTATGTATGGTTGAGTTACCCGATTATATAACAGCCTGAATAGAGTCCATGCCTCTTGTACTGATGCCTTTGAATCAATTTCCCAGTTCTCAGCCGATGCTGCGGAGTTAATTGCCTGCATATCTGCCTTCCATATGTTAGGACGGGCCGGCGCAATTGTTTGACAAGCAATCTCAACCATGAATTTGAATAAGATGACTGCATGGTCACTTCTCCCAAGTGGTGGAAGAAAAGCCGTTTGACCAACGTCATCGCCGTGCGTGAAGACTAAATCTAAAATAGAAGACGAGTTTCTTAAATCGTATCTTGTGGGATCTCTAATGTGTTGTAATAATGCTAGTCCAATCGAGGTTTCTAACAGTTTGGAGTCGAAAGACGATATGGCTGACCCTACTTCTAAGTTTACCCAGTTTATATATGGTGCATTAAAGTCGCCTAATACAAGGCTTTTACCGTTGTTACACCAGGACTTAAGTTTACTTAGGAGAAAATCATCTGCTACACTTTCTGGACTGCGATAAACTACAACTACTTCAATATCTTGCCGTCGGCATTTCAACTTACATCTCACTAGTTCACATGTCCCTGAAACATGTGCTACTGTCTCAGCTAATCTTATGGTTAGGGTACTTTTCGTGTACACAATAACCCCGCCTCCCCTTCGGTTTAATCTATCAGCTCTACTGGTTATGAAACCAGTCAACTGGATTTCACTATCTAATACTTCTGACGTTAACCAAGTTTCCGAGACAGCGATAATGTCCGGTTTTTCCTTATCCACCACTGACTTCAGTTCCGCCATTTTATTTAGTAGGCTGCGAGCATTTGTGTAGCACACTTTTAAGTCTGTGGAGAACTTTCCCTTGCCACCCAGAGTGGCTTGGGGATCGTTTTGCTCCGAACTTTTACAATCTGAAAACCCTTAAGAACGAGATTTCTTTCACCATTTCGGCGACGCTCGTTTATTTCCGCTTCTGCATCTCTTCTCTTAATACGATCAGCTAGGCTGAGATCCTCACGGACATATATTCCGGATCCAATCAGTTTACGTGAATTACTTAGAATCAGGTTCCTTTCTTCCACCGTATTGAATGTAACCTTTAGGAGGCGGTTTTTCTGAGGACTTTCGGAATCCACCTTTTTTCCTATTCTATAAAGCTTACAAATACTAACTCCTGAAACTGTATCTGGGAGTAGTTTACTTAATGATGTCTTAATATGATTGAGATCATGTTCAAATCTTGCCTTTGGTTCAGTATCCGAAGATTCTCTTATCTTATGAAAAATGACTGATCTATCAGAGAGATCTGTCTTGTCACGCGGTGAGGATTTTTCTTCTGATAACACCCCTTCCAATGTCTTGCTGACCAGCTGCGCATTGCCTACAGCCTTTTTATTTTTATTTTTTTTCCTTCTTACCGAAGTCCATCTGTCGCCACTCAGAACGGCCACACCTGGACTATGTGGAACGGTGACAGTTTTATCCGGATCTCCTATTTCGACTAGAGGTGTATGACTGCCGATGTCAATATCAAGCGACACTTCATTCCTCGTTAATGTCAACAGAGATTTCACGTTCCCGTCAACCGTGGTCAAGTGTTTAACGAGTCCAGTAGCAGCACTTACTACACTGCCACATTCTTCATCGTCAGTGCTCCTGTTATCAGTGCTTCCGCCGTCGTTTTTCTTGCAGGCCAAAGCCAATAGGCCCATAGCCTCTTGTATTAGTACCTTTTTATCCGTACAGCAGAACATACAAAGCCAATGCGAGTTAGGCTTCGAGCATCTTTTGTAAGCCGTCGGACTTAGTCGTGTACACATTTTGTGGTACCACTTTTTACAATCGTCACACTGCATCCCCTCCTCAACGGAGAACAAACAATTTGGTTGCCCACATTTGTGAGTCTTACCAACCACTGTAATTCGATTTAAGAGGTTTAAAAACAAAAAACGATAACAATGTGAGCACAAGTGTTAGTCAAGGACTAAAAACAGGTACTCAGGACAAAATTTAGCAAAAAATTTCAAATTTTAACCAAAGTACTCTTAGTTAAAGTAGACCAAGAATGCTTTTTAGTGCAATAAGTACCCAAAGCAAGTATAATCACAACTAGTACAAAAATCACTGCCCTTTTTGAAACGAGCGCTCAATGGTGATATATAGGTGGTATATAAAATTTGAAACATCCCGTCAAAGTATTTGAACGCTCGTCGAAGTGGCCTTCAAACCACTATGAGTCGATAGTATAATCTGCACTACTTCTTCTTCAACTGCTATTGAGGTCTGAAGACTAGAAACAGAATTGTGACCTTGACACTTTACAAAAAGACGATTATTATTATTTATTGCACACGAAAGCTTATACGCTTTTCAGAAACGCACCTGAATAGGCTATGCAAAAAACAGCCATGATGATGTATTAAAACAAACAAAATTAGTCAACTTGTTGAAATACCTAGATGGTAGGAACAGGCAGTTCAAATGTTAAAGCGGGCCGCTATTATAGCAATCAAGATAAATTGGGATTTCATAGTCCATAACGAACACTAGCACTAAGTACGCATAAACAAATAGTACTGTATATCTCGAATACCTAACTGACGAATCCCCCTCCAGAAACTACTGGCACGTTAAGCTTCGTAGAGTGCTTGAAACCGTAACCCACTGATATTCAAATGCGGTAGGTTCACTGAACTCCATTTTATCAGTCATCGGTTTATCCTTTGACAGAATGTGATGCTAATTATACACTTAGATATGCTAGCCACGTCACATCGAACTAACTTTCATGTAGTTGGTAATAACCTGATAACTCTCAACATGTCTGATCATACCATGGGTAATCATAAGAATAGGTCAAAGTCTTGACTACTCACCAACACATCATTCATGCAATCATACGAAATCCTGGGTAACCTAATAAGTGATGCACAATTGTCTTAAACACTATCCCAGATTAGTACACAACCAGAATCATCATCATGGTAGATGGCATTCGATCTGAACTAATAAGGACTTGAAACACATGACATTGGTCACCACCCAGTGATCAATCAATGTTGATTATATCTCAGCCCTACAGGAGGTCGGTCGCGGCCTGGATAGCTCAGTGGCAACGTCTCTGAATATGAAGCTGGGTTATACGGGGTCGAATCCGTCAGGGAGCACCAGTTTCCTCAAGATTACAGGTATACCTTGCTGACGATTGCTAAGTAGCACGAAACCAGGGTCCAGGGTTCCCCGTCTACTACCTCCAACCGCCATCTAAACTGCATGGCTTCTCGCACATTTTC